CTGAGTTAACAAGCTTCAGAGGATCTGAGCGTTAGTTAACGATTCATTTCCTAAAAGAGCTTCAGAGGCACACCTTATGAAACACGTGTCACTTCTAATATGATTTTTTAAAAACGATTGAGTGTATACAAAGCTGAGGCGCTGTTTCAGGTACTGTTTGAATCATTGAAATTCTCTTTTTTCCTCCACTTTGTCAAATCACATTTAATACGTTAAATCATTATTTTTTTTTATGTTTCTCTCTGTGCCCTAATACATATTCCACGCTGTAACACATTTCACACTTTCATTATCTCACACACCTTATGCATTTTGCTCTTCTTCATTGCTTAGTTTTCAAATCAAAAATTAAAAGAATCCCCAATCATCTTAAAAGTTCTTCTTCAATGGCTACCTCATCTTCATCACATCAACACTTGGTTTCTACAATGGTTGGGTCATCTTCATCGCAAACGGGTAATGAAACTTACAAAGAACCAGAACACACACTTCTCACACCAGTGAACAAACTAGAGGTACTCTGTGAGTTTATGGTTGATTTTGACTGTATGGAAAAAAATGGGTTTGATCTTCGTTCAACAGTTAACTTTCAAGGATGGGTAAAATACTTTGATCGGTTGGTTGGTCCAGTTTTTCCCCAAATGGTAAAGGAATTCTGGATTCATGCCCAAGTTTACCCTAAATTTATTTCTTCATCCGTTTTGGGTAAAACTACTATCATCACTGAGGAAATGATTCGCCAACTTATTGGCTATGAAGAAGGGGGTATTGTGAATACTTTAGTGGGATGCATGAATATGAATGAAGTGTACAATGAGGTGTTTGTCTCTGGGCTTCCATCCAACAAGATAAAGGATCTGAATACCCATTACAAGATTTGGGCCAAGATATTTCTAGGCTGTATCCATCATCACAAGGCTTCAAATTCTCCAGATTACATTAATATAGATCAACTGTATATTTTGTATTGTCTAGGGAATAATATCAAGGTGAATCTTCCACACTTGTTGTTTATTCATCTGTGGAGTCATGTCAAGATGTCCAGAGAAATCATTCGCACCAAACACTAGAAAATCAGAGATTGGATTCCCATGGGAAGGTTAATTTCTGATATCCCCACTGAAAATGGTTTGGTATCTTATCTGAAAGATGCTGGTCAGACAGATGAATTAGTTCCTATTCTTAGGAAGCCTATGGATGGAAAGAGTCTTTAGAGAATGAAGTTGGTAGAAAAACTTCAATCTAATCCAGTTCAGATTGATTCTGATGTTGTGCGCAGAAGGAGGGTACCAGTGGAAGATTTTCCACTCTTCACTGCAGAGGAGCCAAAGGAAGCTCACCTCGCTTATATTGCTTCATGTATGGTAGATGGCACTCCTATGCCAGCTGATCTGCTGCTACGTGCTTCTCAACCTGCTCCAGAGCTGATTATGAGGAAGAAACGCAAGAAGAGCAAGGTCTCTGAAGAAAGTCCCTCAGAGAAACATTCTGAAGAAGACTCTTCCAAGAAGTCCTCAAAGCGTTCTAAGCAATCAGGTAATTACTCTGCTGCTTTATCTCCTGTTTTGGAAACTGTAACAGAAGAACCAACATCTCAACCCCCTCTTTCATCTGAACCTATTATAACCTCTGATCCTTCTTCTCTTTCCCTTCCACACATCACCTCTGAGCACCATTCACATTCCTCTGAGCATGTTCATGTCTTTGTTGCCTCTCCTTTCTCCCAACCACAAACTCCAAACCCTCACACCACCTCTCAACATAACCAAGAAGCCACCTCTGAACACACCACCTCTATACCATCCACACCCTCTTTCAATATCCCTTAGCAAACCAATTATGCTGAAGTCCCCTCTACAAACCAACCAGTTGTTACCAACCTCTTTGAACCTGAAATCTTTCATGCCACACCTCTCCTAACCATTCACCCAATTCCATCTGACTCATCTGACTCCTCTAACTCCTTCTCTGACCAATCAGATGCTACATCCCCCTCCACATAACTCCCCAAACCATCCTCTTGAATTTTCTTCTCCCACTCCCATTTCCTCTCATTCTCCAGATAAACCTTCATCATCTGTTAAACCTTCACTCTTTGATGTCCTTAAGCAATCCTTCTTCGAGGCCTACCTTAAGCCAAAACACAGACCCAATGTTAGTAATCTGTTATCTAGTTTTGAAACGGAGATGCAGATGTGGTTTTCTGCTGTAAGGGACAAGTGCCTCACTAGCACAAATCCTCGTGACTCTGAAGAGATCTGGACTGCCTTCAGAAAGAGATTCACTTTTGTGACTATGAATCTTCAGGATGCTTGCTCTGCAGATGCGCAAGAGAGAGTTTCTGAGACTGTGAAACTTGCTCAACTCAGTGTCAGCAGAACTCCTATTCTTTGTATGGAAAACACACCTGCAGAGGTTGTGTGCTCCTCATCTGAGAAATCTGCTGCACCTTAGATTGGTGAAGGTCCTCATGCTGAAGAAGATACCTCAGAGGCTCCTGTTGTCGAAGAGATTCCTGACTCTGGTCAGCCCTCTGCTCTGGAATTAGGAAATGCACCTTCTTCATTGGTTGTTCAGAATTCAACAGTTTTGAGGAAAGAAAATGAAGATGTGCAAAACAAATTTGCTCAGCAAGAGGCTATTAACAGTGAAATAAAATCTTGGATGATCAAGCAAGAGAAAACTACGACAGAGATTTAGGAGTGGATGGTCAAACAGGAAGAATTCACTACTGAAATCAAGACATGGATGGCCAAACAAGAAGCTTCAACTTCTGAGATGACGGATCTTCTTAAGCTTTTAACTTCTCGTTTATCTTAATTGTTTGTTTGTTTATGCTCATCTGTGATCTTGCCTGTTTTATTTCTTTTCTGAGTTTCTAAATACATCTGTGACTATTTTTCTTTTACATATGATTCTTTTTTTTTCTTGCTCTGAATTTTTTTTTTTAAATGATTTTCTAAAATCACTTTTTGATATGACAAAAAGGGAGAGAAGATGGAAATTTTGAATTGTTCACATAAACAGATACTGAATGGAAACTCACACATGTTAAAAACTAACTAATCATGAATTCAGTGTTTCAGAGTTAAAGTTACTTATCTGACAATATTTATAGAAGTAACTCTGAACAAGGTCTGAGATAGTCCACAAGCTTGCTTTGACTCTAGAAAGAATACAAGTGCTGAAAGGGAAGTTTTAAATTTTCTAGCAATATTTATTTCAGGGGGAGATATATATTTTGAATAAAATTTTGTATAGTTTTTGTCATTATCAAAAAGGGGGAGATTGTTAGAACACAGATTGGTTCTTAATATATCTCAATGTTTTGATGATAACAATAATGTAATTTTGTATGGAGAAAATATATACTCTAATTTTGTTCAAGTGTTTTTGTTTCAGATAACATAATAAATATTCCTCTGAACGGAATATTCCTCTGAACGTTAAGCTACAACACGCAGAAAACTCTGAGCGTACTAAACTCAACGCTGCAACTGCAGAGGCTCTGAGAATCAAAACACGTAAGGCTCTGAAACATTAGTAACAAAGTGATACATATGGATAAAACGTAAGATCGAAGATATGCTCTGATCTAAAGCGCTCCTCTGGATGGACAGTTTGTTAAAACAATCACGCTAGCACTAAGTTGCAGAACTCTGGAAGACAGTTACTCTGATAAGAAGTAAACAGAACTCTAGAAGACAGTTACTCTGATAAGAAGTAAACAAAACTCTGGAAGACAGTTACTCTGATAAGAAGTAAACAGAACTCTGGAAGAGAGTTACCCTGATAAGAAGAAAATGGAACATCATCATCAGATGATCTGATGCAGGAAATATTTTCATATTCGTTCATTTAAAAAGATGTTGATCAAGAAAGATCTGTTGCAAAACTCATTGTCTACATCCAACGGTATTATTCCTCTTTTGTGTATGGGACAGGATGTCAGAACAAAAAGGATATCTCTGAACATTCCTCTTCTAAAAAGAAATAGTCAAAGAAGACAAATATGCACGCTATTTGAGAAATGGATGTGAAGTATTTAAAGAAGTCTTTAACAGCAATTCAAACTAGAAAAAAATACAACATCATTCCACAACGAACATACTTCTTTGCTGAAATCACTTTGGCCGGGTGGACTGGAGTAGTTTGAGTTCAAACGAACCAGTATAAAAATACCTGTTATTTTTATTGCCTTATCTGTTTTTGAAAACCCTTATTCAACCTCCCCCCCTTCTTAGTGTTTTCCTTACCTTCCTATAATTCATACAAGTTACACTTAATTCATACAAAGTAGGTGTAAATACCAACCTTAACTGAGAAAACTCTCAATAATATTTTTAAATCATCTCTAATTATGCGACCACAAGTTAATATTACAGAATTTCCTCTTGAAGTTTCAATCAAGTTACACTTAATTCAATTATAATTAGAAGAAGAAAAATCAATTAACTTGTATGATTTTAGCTGCAGAAAGAGGTGAATATTTGATGTCAAAATATTTAATAATTATAAGTTGTGAATTAAAATTTACATATATCATCTTTAAAAAAATAGATGTCATATAGATCAATTATTTAATAAATCAATTTTACTATTTTAAAACTTGAATTCTTATGTTTCAAATTATCCAAAGATGACAGTAAGAGTCATAATCATCTTTAAAATTTAAGTGTCCCAACTTTTACACATAGTTGATTGTTTTAAAAACTTATGATGTATATAAAAAATAAGTTGACCCAACAAATATCACATTATTAAATTTATATTTTTAAAACTTTGATAATGAGGGATATAATAAATAAAGAAAATGGAGAAAATTCTAGTTCCGTTACATATATATAATATAGATAAAACATCAATACATTCTAGTACATAAACTACTTTGACTCTCCACATAGGATACTTCTAATACACATGATGGTAACCAGCTTATTTATATACAAAGCTAATTATCATCAATTGTTTAAAAATGACTTTAAAAAAATAACATTTAATCAATACATTCGAAATTTTTCCTTAGTTTTCTCAAACACTTCTTCAGCAAAAATGGCCTCTTTGCCATCAGCTCTTTTAATTTCCAAATGTGCTTTTTGATAAAATCCAGTTCCTCTCAATGCATCAGCTATAAAATCATCAAAACCAATCGCAATTGCTGCCTCAGCTTTTGCTCCATAAACCAACCTCTACATAAAAAATAAAAAATAATAATAAGTTATTTAATAAATCTAGAAAAAAATATTTACTTATATTGATGACCAAAATAATATTAAAATAAAAATAACATGTTAATAAAAAACCACAGAAAATAGGAATTTGAAACCTTAACACGTGAAAGGTGAATAGCACCAAAGCACATTGGGCATGGCTCACAAGAAGCATATATTTCACAATCTGAAAGTTCTATCTGCTTCAGTTTTTTACAAGCCTGCAAAACCATTCATGATTTTCAATTTAATAATACCGATCTGAGACCTTGCGATAAACACACTCTCAGAACCGAAACCTTCACCGCTAAGGATGACGCATTTATATATATAATCTAACCTCTCTTATTGCTGTGACTTCAGCATGAGCAGTAGGGTCATTGTTTCTGAGAACCATATTGTGACAACTAGCAACAACTTCATCATTGAAAACAATAACAGCACCAAAAGGACCTCCATCTTCACAATCTACACCTTTATATGCTTCTTCAACTGCTTTTCTTAAAAATTTGTGGTCTCTATCCTTTATAGCTATTTATCCAAACTAATAATAATAAGTGACAAAAGAAAATATTATTCAACACAAAAACTAAAATGTTGTGAAACATTATTACCTTGCTTGTGGCCAGAAAAAGCAGAAGCTAGAGCCACAGTTCCATCCTTAGTTTGCACCACTAAGATAACCAAAAAAGAATATTATTATATATCCCCAAGTTTTTTTCATGTTTTTAAAGAGATAATATTGTAATATTTTTTGATAATTTTTTTATAAAGAGATAATTTTATAACATTGTAAAAAAGAATTGAAAGCATGGCTCATTGGATAACTTACTTTTAGAAAAATAGATTTCAATAAGTTGCTAGTGCTCTAGTGCTCTTTATGTGAATACAAATATATGAGTTGATTGAGCTATATATAGGATTGGTGATGGAGATTAAGAACAATGGAACAAATGCTACTTTGAAAAAATCAATGATGGAAAATGTTGATGGATGAGAAAAGAAATGTGGTCCATTAATAATTAATAACAGAAGAGCCAAAAAAACACATGATATAGGGTGGCACAAACAAACAAATGCTAAAAAAAAAACCGTAACATGTAGGGCATAGTTGAAACGTGGTCCATTGATAATTAATTATTAATTAATATAATAAAAGTAAAAAAGAAAAAGAAAAAAAGAGACATGAGATGAGATGATGATGTTATATCGTGCTGGCAAGAATTAGATTGAGAATATAAAAATGGACATAGAGGATAAATAGTCAAAAAGTACGTGAATGTAGCTTCAACTATGACTCATCATCACATTGGCCATATATAGAATGTGATCTTATCATAGTTATTAAAAGGTTTACTTTCTCCCATTTTATCTTCCACATAAGATATTTGATTTTTATCATATGAAAAAATAAAATTAATGTATTTAGTTAAGTTAATTATAATTATTTATTCAATTAAATTAATCATAGTATTTTGACGTGTTTAACTATGCTATCGTGTGTGTATAAAAAATTGAATATCTATGTATATTATTGGTTAGTTAGCTATAATGGATAGAATATGTGTGTTCTCGACACCGTGACTCACCAAACGCATGAATCTGTGCATACATATCCTTTGGATTCACACATCTTGATAAGTTTCGAACAACTTATCATAATGATTGAATTGGATAATGTTTCTTCTTAGTTTTTAATGTTGGGATTGGTCAAAAATAAACATGTATAAGTTTTATATAATTTTGTGAATGAAAAAATAATTTAGGTTATATATAAAATACAAATTTTTTAAAGTTCAACATCGTTTAATTTTATGAAGGAAGAGAGCATCTTATATATAGGATTCAAATTCGTCATTTTAAGAAGCACCCGTAAAAAATATTTTAAATTTGTATTTAATTTTCTTTATCCTTTTATACTTTTGTATTAAAGTGTTGTAAGATTTAGTTAAATATTTGTTTTTGAATGGTGTGGATATACGGGGGTCTTGGTTAGTTGAGGATATATTATGTGTTGTAATAATTTTCACATAGTATTATTCTCTGGTTATCTATTGACAATGGTCGTGGTTTTTTCTCCGGTTTTGGAGTTTTCACGTTATGCTCTTGTGTTGTGATTGTGTTCCTATTTTTTTCTCTATACTTTGTTTATTTTTTCCAACAATTAGTATCTGAGCTTTTGGTTTGATCCAGAGATAAGTGTTCTTAATATGCTCTGTGGTTGCAGTTTTGTATGATATTTCACATCAGAAAAGAAGGGTAGTGTTGTGAAATAGTTGTTGGGTTGCAGTCACAAATTTCATTGTGCAGTTTGGGCTAGAGAAAATTGTGAAACTTTTTTTAGAATAACTAGTTTATTCATAAAATATACAAATTAAACAAATAATTGAAAAAAATTACAAAAGTGGCAATGTTTCAACCTTAGGTTGCCAGATCATTTGGCGACTCTGGCTACCCAAAGTGAACTCAACAATTGGTATGGCGACACAGTTATCCATTTGGAGTAGACTTGCCAATTCATTTGGCGACTTGACTCATTTACTTTTTTTTTCTGTTTAGAGTTTGCGCATGTATTTATGTTTTAACTCAATTAATTTTTATTTTTTCATAATTAATTTCAATTTAAATTATATAAAATAAATAAATGGGATAAATATTAAATTATGTTTTTTGTTTTTCATAATTAATTGAAATTTAAAAAATGTAAATAATCTTAAAAAATAGTAAATTATAGAATAAATATTAAAATATATTAATTTACAATAGAATAAAAATTACAATTGACAAAAAAAAACTAATGGTCGGCTCTATCCAAACGACAACCGGTGCCACATTGTGGAGGATGTGCGCGGCGGCGAGGTCTACCACGAGGTTGCTGAGGTGTGTCCGGTCTTTATGTGTTGAGTTGTGGAAGAGGGATTTGTTGGGACGGCCCCGGCGTATCAGATAAATTTTGAAATATTTGACCTCAATAGCCGGGAGGTCCACTATCAACGACGCTTCCGTAGTTAAGCCCAATGCCCATGTTTTCGTAGGATTGTCGGGGAGGTTGGGTGGAGTATGGACGATATGGTTGTCCGAATTTGTACATCGAATCGGGTTGGAAACGGTGTGTTGGTTGTTGTGGGGTTTGGTAGTCAAACAGTGGATAGTTGGAGGGGGTAGGGTCAAATGAGTTATATGGGCTATAGGTTGAGGGGGTAGGGTCAAAAGACGTATCAGGGCTATATTGGTATGGCTGTTGTTGTTGTTGTGATTGGGTTAGTGGCATGTATGGGTTATGGTAAGGGTGTTGTTGTTGATGTTGGACATTTGGTGGCATGTATGGGTTATGGTAAGGTTGTTGTTGTGGTTGTTGGGCATTGGGTTGTTGTGTGTTTGAGGAAGAAGCACGTTGCCTTGGGTCAATCAAATAGGTCGGCTCAGACATAAATGGTTGGGATGTTGTAATCGACATAAACCAAGTCATATATTGATGATTTGGCCTAGCCCCTTCCACAATACGGTCGGTTAAGATGTGTTGCCTTCTGTTCTTCCAATGTCGACACATCTCCTTCGTAAACTCCTTCAAATGACCGACACTCCACTGTGAGTCCACCCGTTGCTGATGCCATTGTCCCAATGAAGTCGGAGCATCTGGAATATCCTGATGCATCCCAAACTGTAGCTTCACCCGGTCACTTTGGTGCATCTCCACCATAGTGAACCTAATGGTAGGTGTTTTTGATGTCCACACATCAGCATCATCGGTGTCGGGCTGGTGGTCGAGACCCTCGTACGACATCCAGATAAACTACAATAAAGGTAGATAAATTAAGTTAGACAAAGTTAGACAAGTTTATGCATATAAGTTAGACAAAGTAAAGGAAGATACATTACATTGTTTGGCCCAATGTGTTCGATGAGGTTCCGGTACACGATTATGGAGTTCCTGGGACATCTGTGATAATTCATCCCCGGAACAGACCACCTAAAAAAAAGAAACACAGATAAGTTAGACTCTAAGACGCAACTTACAAATTATTAACTTACAATGAAACTTTAGTTGTTAAATAGTCTTGAAAAGAAACTTACTTGTTAGCGTATGAGAATGTAAACGAATTACGGTTTACTAGAGCAAGCGTTGGCATCCTAGACCAACCCCACGCTTGAAGGAGATAGGCGCAGCCATAAAAGTATAGGAATTTTTTTTGGAATTTTTACAAAGTGCACTATATAGATGGGCGAGGACAGCTGATCCCCAACTATATTTGCACACTTTGTTTATGTTTTGTAGCAATGGTAAATACATAATATTTACGGTATTTCCAGTGCCCTCAGGAAATAAAAAATGACCAAACAAAGTCATAATATAGCACCGAGTTTTGAGTATTTTCTCATACTCAGTGGACTCCTCACTTAAGACAATAATGTTGTAGTGTTGTCTGAGGTATTTAAGATTTATTCCCTGGCCCCTTGGGCGACCCTCGCGTTCTGCCTCAATTGCGTCCACACAAAAAGGGGCGCCCATAAGTCTTTGCAAAGTTGGTTGTTAACACCAACTTTGCTGTTGACGGCCTTACCATTGATGTGTAGGCCGAGAAACATGAAGACATCCTGAAGAGTCACAGTACACTCACCGAAAGGTAGGTGAAATATATGTGTCTCTGGTCTACAGCATTCTAACAACGCTAGAATGAACTTCGCATCAAGTGAGTATGATTTGATCTTAATCAAATCACCAAATCCGCAATGTTCAAGGTATGCCTCTATGAAAGGGTCGTGTGGTATGTAGTCATGCACACGACAATGAAACCTTGATGCATTCTGCAAAAGAAATTAAGTGTAGTTAGTTTTAAAGGAGAACTAAAGATTGTAAACATAGACAAAAAAATACTTACAAACTCGGCGATATTCTCAACTGTGCCTCTGTGAGAGATTCCCATTGTGAGTAGAGACATTGTGGTTTAAGAATTTGCTGGGTGAAAAAGAGTTTGAGAGTTGGGATGAGAAGATTTTGCTGGGATGAGCAAAGTTTGAGAGTATGAGGATGAGAAGAGTTTGCTCGTATGTGAAGAGTTTGAGAGTATGAGGATGAGAAGAATTTGTTGGGATGAGATGAGTTTGATAGTTAAAGAACCTCTATTTATAATCCACGAATGCATGTAACCTATAAATGCATGTAGAGCAAGTTTCAATAATGCATATGACTTGTAAATGCATGCAGAACAAGTGTCGATAATGCATGTGACTTGTAAATGCATGCAGAGCAAGTGTCTTAATGCATGTGAGGCGTGCAATTTTAGTCTTGTCTTGGAAGTGCATGTTGCAGTGTTGCCATGCATGCAGAGTATCGTCAGGCATGCAGAGGACATACATTAAGGGAGGCGTGCAGGTCTAGTCTTGTCAAGCATGTTGCAGGCATTTCAAGTATAATACTACAAGTAACGTCAAACATTTAATTTCAAAAATGCACTATATGGTGTTCAGTTATAACATTTTTAACCTCTTCATCTTATTGGGTTACTATTCTTTTTTGTAAGAATCTTGTAGGCCTGCAGGGTCATGGTAGGTATCCAGGGAATCAGTTACTGTAGACAGAGTGCAGATCTAGTCTTGTCAAGCATTAAGGGAGGCGTGCAGGTCTAGTCTTGTCAAGCATGCTCCAGGCGACTCAAATAAACTCAGTTGCGTCTTCTATTAAAATTTACTTGTTATTAGGTTTAATATATTTTTAATTAGTAAGAATTTAATAATAATATTGGGTAACTATTCGTAAACATAATATTTTTAATGTTATTATGCTATTTAACGTCAAAAATAATACTACAAGAAACGTCAAATATTTAATTTC